AGTTATCAATGTGATATATTATCTATAATATATTATCATTTACTATGACATATTATATTTTATTTGTATAGAAGAAATAACTTGATTATTTATTATCATATTTAAGTTTTAATAAATCAAATTATTCTCATCATATCTATTAAATAACTTTTATTATATGTATAATAATTTATTCAATATGTATATTATTGTTAATTAATATTTATTAATCAATAAATTTAAACAAAAACCTCATTGTGTTGTATTTTTTTTATTATAGTAATTCATGATATAAATATATTATAAATAATTATAACGACTATTTAATTGATAAATAATAATATATAATAAAAGTATAGTTAATCTATACACCCGAAGTGACGCGATACATTTAACTAATTAACCATTGAATAATCCCAAATAAATCCGAAATTGTGATGTTTAAATCATTTTAAAACATCATAAGATGAAGAAAGTGATTACCAAACTTATAAAGATTGCATCTTTCTAATAAAAATCAAATGACAAGTTTAATAACACTTTCCCTCCACGGCACATCACTTGGTTTAGACGACCAAAACCTTAAAGAGAAGATTAAGTCGATTGAAGCAAAACTCGTCGAGTCCGAAACAAAAGAGAAAACATTGAACGACGCTTTAGACGCACTTCTGAAGAGAATAGAAAGTGCGGAGGAACGATCCAAACTAGTAACTTCTCTCGAAGCCAAAGTCAATGCGCTCGAAGTTGAAAATAAAACTCTTCGTAGTGAATTAGAAGCGAAGGCCAAAGAACACACCGAAGCCGTAGTCAAGCTTCAAAGTGATTTCAGTGCTTTTAAAACGACTCTGAAAGACAACGAAGGGAAGATCGAGTGTGTCATTTGTAAAGAGTTAATACCAATGAAGGACATCATTACACACATCAATGCACATGGCCCTCAAAGTGGCTTCACTCAAGCCCCAAACCTTCCTATGATCTTCCCTTCACATACTAGAAATGCTGTTGTGTCAAAGAACACTATCGTTCCTGTTGTCCCAAGCACCAGTGTTAACCCATTACCTTTGCCAATAGTTCAACCATTCCCAATTCCTCCATCCCAAGCAGATCCAAAGCCCGTAGAATTAGTTGAGTGCCCAATTTGTGGAAAGAAATTCTCAGAGGGAGAAATAGCTAAACACGTCGATGGCCATTCGGGAACACAATTTGAGTGTCCCTTCTGTTTTAAAGACTTGGGAAATGCTCAGAGTTTGCAACACCATGTAGAGACCGAACACCAATAATTGGGTTGTGTGGTATTGCTTTTTTTATCGGGTTTTATATTTCTTTTCAATCGCACAATTTACTCGTTAATGTGCTTTTCGGACAATTTGATGCCGATATAATTGAGAGCAAGTGGTTTCAAGTCAAATGGTTTATTAAAAGTAAAATAAACTATACTAATAGTACATTGATTTGAGGGAAATAGAAGAGAAGACACAATTGTGAATTGCTTCGAACAACCAAAAAATGGTACAACTGCCAAAGGTGACATGTCAAGTAACTTCTTTGAGGAACTGAAATACTATTATGTTTGTGTTTTTGATTCTAACACTTTTTTCTTTGGAGACTTTGGCTATCTTAGTGTTGCCGAAAACTAAAACAGTTGTTACGAAGACAGTTCCTCTTGTCAAGTTATATAAAAAGCAGAAGAAGACTAGCGGCATCATTGGAAAACTGAATTCAATTGAAAATGAAAATTATATGTCGATACCAATGGAAGAAAGAAACTACTACAACCCATATGAAAGATCACCTTATGACACACCAAGTGATCAACAAGGAACTCTTAACGCTAATTTCGTCCAACACGTCCAAAGAAACAATTACTTGACTCAAAACTTAATCAAACCAAATTGCCCTCAACACCCAAATAACTTCTTACAACATAGAATGACCCAACAAAACCCAATGCTTTATAATAGTTATATGCAAAGACCATTACCCGGATATTATGCACCAAGTTATGGAATGAATTATGGATATAGAATGAATTATCCTTATAATCACCCAATTTATGGATACACATATGGATCTCCTTATATGAGAACTTATCCAACACCAATGCCTTACTCTCCCTATTCTCTCCTCTAAAAAATGCTTTTCTTTTTTTTTATTAATATATTAATATAGTAATTATAATACAAGTATTAATTAATTGTTATTATATAATAACATTTTTATTCTATTTATTTAAAATACTTTTTTATAAAAAAAATATAATAAAAAAGTGATTAAATAAGAAGTACTAATTAATTAATTATTACATTAACTATACTTCTTTTTTGAATAAATTGTGAATGACATAACAAATTCTATATTTTAATTATATTTATTATAATTTTAAACAAACAACTGTTTTATAAAATAAACTATAGTATAATAAAGTAATCTCGCATAAAGTAATAAACCACTTGCCTGGCACATAATAATAAACTAATAATATAATACAAATAACCATAATATATAGTTAATTTATCACAATAAAAACTTCAACGATATAAATACTCCTCAACTGGTAAAAGAAACTTCAAAAGAAAGCAAAAAACTGAAAAATAATAAAATGGTTTGTCTTTCAACTTCCTCCCAACAAGAATTTCATTCATTTTACTTCAATTTAACTTCACTTTGACTTTGTAATACTCACAATAAGGCGCGTAGATACGACAGTCTCACAACTATGTTTTCCCCGGAGGGTAGACTCTATCAGGTTGAGTATGCGATGGAAGCTATCAGCCACTCTTCCTCTGCTATTGGGATATTATGCAAAGACGGTATCTTACTTGCAGCCAAGAAGAAACGAGTTGCGCGATTAATCGACCGTTCCCGCGACTCGGACAAGATGTACGAGTTAGACACGCACGTCGCGTGTGCGGCTGCGGGGATCACCTCCGACACAAACATCTTAGTCGACTACTTAAGGGAAGTCTGTCAACAGCACCACTTCACATATGGCGAAGAGATCCCCGTCGAGTTATTAGTACAGCGCGTTTGTGACATGAAACAGAGTTACACGCAGTACGGTGGGTTACGACCATATGGCGTCTCCTTTTTATACGCCGGCTGGGACAAGTACTTTGGGTATCAACTGTACATGTGTGACCCCTCTGGAAATTATGGGGGCTGGAAAGCCACTGCAATCGGCGCAAATTTCCAAGCAGCAGAATCCATCATGAAAACTGAATACAAAGAGGACATGACCATCGAAGACGCTAAAAAGCTTGTAGTCAAAATCTTCTCGAAAAGTGTTGAGAGTTCATCTATGGTCCCTTCAAGACGTTTGTTCCTCTTTTTTTAAATCACTTTTCTATGGACTCAAAAATAGTCGAGTTCGGTGTCTTTACGTTGGACGAGAACAACAAAAAGCCGGCGTTCAAAATCATGAAGGACGCTCAGGTCGCTGAATTACTCAAACAATGTGGTATTGAAATGGTCGAGGATCGTGATTAATTTTTCTCTTTTTTGTTCTTGTTTTTACTATTACTATGTAGTTGATTTTATTATATTTTTAACTCTTTTTATTTTATTGTTGTTATTACTTTTTTGTTATTTATTTATTTATTTACAAAGATTTATCTGACCCAAATCAGTATGTCCAATACTTTGCAGATAAGTGTTAAGTTAAGGGATTTGATCAATAATCCCGTTTTTATTAGAAATTAAAATGTAATATAAATAATAAAAAAACAATTTCATTTTTATCGTTTCTTTGGCGCTCCATTCATAATAAAAGTTTATTAATTTTTATCATTAATTTACAAATAGTTTTTGGATTTTGGTATTTATAGTGTATTAATTATGTTATTTCATTTCAAATTTTTCTATTTTATTTAACTTAAATATGGTTAAATAATAGATTTCTTATTAGAACAAACAATAAAAGTGATAATTTAATTAATTGTTTTGTTTGGCATATCTCTGCTTGTTGATGTTCTTTAGACGTTGCTCGGCTTCATCAAGTTGTCTTCTCAGCTTAAGGACTTGGATGGACGCTTCTCTTTCTTTAATGACAAGCTGGTAGTCGGACAAATCGCCATAATTAATACTTTCATCGCTTTGCTTTTTCATGTCACCAATGGCTTTAACTGCTTCGACCAAGAGTTTAGTAGCTTCGTTAACTCCTCTTGACGCGTTTTCGACTTTTTGGAGAGTTGGTGAGTCGAAGTCTGCTTTTGATCGTGCTGCTGTGACAAGATGAGCAGTGCACTTAGCAACTTCGTGACTTGTAGCGATCAAAGCGTCTGTATCCTTTTCTGTGCCTGGGGTGACGTTATTATTTGCAACGGTGACAATTTGTTTAGTCGCTTCTGCAACTTCCTTTCCAGCAGTAACAAGACCCTCCGACCAGATTTGATTTGGTGCATATGGTTTTGTTGGTGTTGCGTACTTTTTCCCCAAAGCAACTCTCTCTTTTTGCGCAGAAGCTGCTGCATTGACAAGTGCGGCTGTCGCCTTTGCAATGGCTTGTGCACTCTCCATGATGGCCTGGTTCACATCCATCTCCGCAGAAACACCTTTTTTCGACTGCGACAACCACTTTTCCAAATCCTTTGCTAACCCCATAATACTATTGGCGGCCTTTGTCAACTCTCTCTCAGCGTCTTCATCAATCCCAGATAAATTGACCACTTCAGCAGACTCCTCAATCCCTTCAACTAATGTTTTCTCCTTTGTCATTTTGATATCAAAGACTCCTCCAGCCTCTCCAACCTTTTCTCGGTCAATGCACTTCCCCATCATGTCGCGAACAGAAGCAATCAATTCAACGGTCGCCCCTCGTATTTCTACTTTCAATTTTTCATCCGGATTCTTCATCTCTGCGCCTTTGATATCTTCAAGTAACATCTTGATCGTAGAAACAAAGTTCTCAACCTCCTTTTCAGCCTCTTTCGGATGGTTCTTTTCAACAGACGCCTTGTACGCAATTCCAGTCGCATTCAAAAGTGTCAAGTCGCGAAGAACTGTCGCTTTATTTGCATTTGGATTCCCCTCAATTGAAGTGTCATTGAATAAATTAAAGAAGTTGTCCATCTCCTTTTCGGCCCCTTTAACACCGGCGTTGACAACCAACCAGTAATCCGTCTCACGGCCAAATCGTTCCATTTCTAAAGCTTTAGCGGTGTTCTCGTACCTTTCTTGTACTTCATTCAACTCGTCTGCCAATTTCAATTTCGAGTTTTTCTCATCGACCAATTGTTGCGCAATGAAGTCGCTTTTCTTCTTTTCGTCTTCCAATTCTTTTTGTAACTTCGCGTCTTGGACTTTGAACTTCTCGTAGTCCTGCGACAACTCGGCAAATTTCTGGCTCAGTCCCGCAAACTCCGTTTTCTGTTGTTCTGAAAGTCCAACTTGATTTTTCAAGTCAGCAGCCAAAAGTTCGTTTTGTCTCTTTAACTCAGCAAGTTCAACACGATTTTGTTCTTCATATTCTCTTTGCTTTTTCTTGTAATTTTCAAACTCCTCCCCTTTCTTTTCCCAATTCTTAACTTTTGTTCGCTCCTCTTCAAGTTGTCTCAACAGTTCCTGTAAATTCCCTTCTTTCCCTTCGTTCATCTTTTTCATCTCGTCGTAAGTCTTTTCTAATTCCTTGATTTTCTCCTGTTCGTTCTCAACCTTCTTTTGTAACTCGGCGTTCTTTCTTTCAGCCTCGTCGTTCTTGAACTTCATCTGGTCTTTGAGTGCCTCAATCTCGCGAAGACTCTCTTCGAGTTTCTTCAGCTCGGCTTCCTTCGCTGCCAAATCGGTTTCTACATTTTTTTTCTTCTCAAGTTCGGCCTCTTTCTCTGCAATTTGTGTTTGAAGCGCCTTGATGACGTCGTCCTTCTTCTTTTCGTCAGTCAGCTGGTTTTTAAGCTCTTCGATTAATTTCTCAAGTTCGGCAATCTTCGCGTTGTTTGCCTTCTCTTTCTCTTCGTTGACCTTTTTCAACTCTCTGCGTTGGTCTGCTTTCAATTGGTCAATTCGCATTTTAAGATCGTTGATTTCCTCTTCGAGTTCTTTGATTCTTTTCAGGAGTTTATTTATTCTCTCGTTGTCAACAACCTTTTCAATCTTCACAATCACTTCCTTCTCCACTTTAACAGGGGGTGGTGGGGGTGCCTGCGCTTCTTTTGAGAAATCGAATGGTTGGAAAGTTGGTTCCACTGGTTTTTGTGTCGGTTTATTCATCTCAGAAAAATCGAATGGTGTGAATTGTGGTTGAATTGGTTGGGGTGGTGGTGTTTGTACCTTTGGTTGTGGTGGAGGGGACGGCGACCTTTCTCTTCCAAGTGTTATAACAGAGAAATCTGGTGGGTCGGTAGCAAGCTGAGGGACGGTGACCAATGCAGTGACGTCTCTGATAACAGAGACCTGATCAAAGAGGTTCTTCAAGGTGTTATGCATTTGGTCGAACTTTGCAATGATGTCCTTATACTCTCCGTCGTGGTGGAGTTTCACAAATGTTGTGAAAATGACGTGATAATACATATAATATACACCGCTCAATTCCCTGATCAAAGTGACTAACATCGCAATCAATGAAAAGATTTTCTTTGAGTTTAAGATCTTCAATATGCCTTCCGTGTTTTCAACACACATTTTGAGGTGGTTTAACATTGGTTGGATGATTGGATTCAACTTCTGGCAATTCTCGGTACTGATTTTCGAAAACGTCTTCTTGAATATCTCCGGGTCCATTGAACCTGGTATGATTTGTTGTGCAGTGTGCATTTGTACTTTGGTCTCGAGCATTCTGACGTACTTGCAGAATATGTCCGTTGACATGTTGAGCTGCTGCGATCTTTTAAATCTCTCCAACTCTGGGACCCATCTCAGATCAAAGACGGGAGTTTGGCACGCTTTTTCGGGACCATCCAACATGACTCTGTGAAGGATCTGAATCGCCTTCATCTGAGTGACTGGGTTGCCCTTTCTCACTTTGTCGAGCAAGTATCTATAGACCTGCATACATGCTTGTTCTGTTGGGCAGGACACGATGATAGTCCTGACGTGTTTGTCTTTTGGGAATGAGTCTGCTGGGTCTGTCGCCTTATTGATCGCTTTTTCCATGAGTATTGTAGAATAGAGTTCAGTCAAGATTTCAAGAACTCGTATCAGAAGTCTTTGTTTTACCTCTCTTTTTGGTGTTTTTTTTGTGTTTTTAATCCCCTTAAATGCGCTTTCTTTCCACCATTGCTCTATTTGTGTTTCATTGAGTTGTATTTAATAGTTTATTTATATTATATTTTTAATTTGGATTATAACAGGGCGTTTTCACTCAATTGACACCACGTCAATAATACCCAGAAAAATAGTCCATTTTTTTCACAAATTGGTCGCATTTTCTTTTGTTGGCTTCTGGTATAAACATGGTTATTTTAACTATAATTATAGTATATACCATATTTGGCATTTTAGTAATCTCCCATTTTTAACTTTTTTGTTTATTCTTGTTATTGTTTCTCTTTCCGGCAATTAGTGGTGTAATTTAACACCAAATTCTGCATATTTGAGACGATATTCAAATACAAAAACGGTTATTATTAAAAGATAATTATAGTAAATTTAATTAGATTTGTAACAGTATTAAAATTGTTTTTGAACAAAAACGTCAAATTTGATTGGTTCCACTTTTTATAGTTTTCTTATAGTAAAATTACAATACCTATTAACCATTTCCCAAAAGTGTTGAAAATTGAATTCAAAATGACTAAAACAAGCAGTTTTGGGAACAACAAAACGATTAACTGTAATTCAATTTCATATTTGGTTCTTCGAAGATTTGATTAAAAACGAAAGAAATGTTATCCAACATATCAGTTGCGATCATTCCACGTCCTTTTTGTTTAAAAGCAGCAGCGTTACATTCTTTAATTAACGCACTCACTGCCACCCCACTCACTAATAAATCATTTTCGTCGGTGTTTGGGCTTCGAGTTATTCATTGTAGTATTATCTTGAATAATTTTTAATTCAGAAATACTATAAATTAAAGTATTATTTATCATATATTTTAATTCATAAATCAAATTGTCAAAGAAAAAATGTACTATATTTATTATAAATTTTATTATATGTTATAATATCCCAAAAAAGAAGAGATACAAACGCCAGAACGCTCCATGCTATAAAAGCCGCCAAAGCGCCACTTAACAGATCCCCCTTAATGTTACTCATGCTCACGACTCCAAACACGACTATTGATAACAAACCTGTCCGCCACATCTTCTTGGAGAACCACTGTGTTTACACTGCACTGTATACGTCCCATTTGATATAACATCGACTCTCCCTTTCTGAAATATGGTGACTCCTCCTAACTCCTTGGCCAGTCTGTACACGTCCGCATATACAGGGAGACCAACAGCCTCGCACAACCTCCCGTACTCAGCAACGTTTGGAGTTAAAATGACGTTCTTCTTGTTTTTGATCATCTCGATATTTTTAGTGATCATGAAAAGACCATCCGCGTCAAATACAATGCGTTTGCCTTTACTCAGTAATACCCCACACACAGCTTTGGCTATGTCTAAGATGTATTGGTCACGCCCCAAGCCTGGACCAACAACAAAACACTGAATTGTGTCCGCCCACTTTATGCAGTCTTCCAAGTTATAGTCTTGCTTAAAAAACGGGTGGACAATTAACTCTGGAGAATACGCTTTTATCGCCGTCGCAGCTTCTTCGTGACAGAAAACATGGGAAATATCACAGCCAACTCTTAAAGCAGTCATCGCCGAAAAATATGGCGCCCCAGTGTACTCAACACTCCCACCAAGAATAGCCACCTTGCCACAACTACCTTTGTGCTGGGCATAGTCGAGTTTCGGAATGATCCGCTTTAACTGTGTTTCCACTGAAAGTTGTCCACCCATCACTCTTTGTGCTTTTCAGTTCAAAAAGTCATCTTATCGAGTGGGGATTTGTCAGGAAGAATTTAAGTTCTTGTAATAGTGTTGTTTTAGTTTTTTTATTGGTTTGATAATAGTTTTATATTTGAATTATTTTGTTTGCATCCAAATTCAAACATCAAACTATTGAATAACTATTCAATTCTAATTATTTAATTTGGTTAATTTCTTTATTTTTGATTATCTTTGATGTGTTTTCAAACTTATTTGTAGTTATCTTTCTTAGTAAACGGACAACATTCTTAATAGTTTATAGCTTATAAAATAAGATCGTCAGTCGTTTCTTTTTCGATTGACCATCATTTTTAAAATTTTTCACTTTAAAACAACGAGAGATGACACTTATTTATTAATATAATAAAAGTTGTATCAAATAAGAAACAAATTAAATCGTTTTAGGTAGATTTTTATTTTTCAATAACAACTAGTAACTTTTATGATTAAATAGTACTGTTACGTAAATCCAATAAGACACAATTGACAACAGAAGTATACACGTTAAATTATTATAAGGTTATGACAAACATTTTTATAAACATTAATTGGATTATGATATTAATTTGTTTTACTGTCTAAAATTGAATAAATAACCAAAATTAAGTTGTTTCAAAACAATATCAAAATTATTAGTCATTTTCGTTTGATAGAATTAAATTACACACACTTATCACTAACAAATTTCCTGGTTCTTATTCATTGGAATCAAACATTCGATTCTATACTTATCATACACTATTTTACAACCAAATGTTATTCAAATTACTGTTTTTATTATAAC